ACTTCTTTTGCTATTTTCCGAAGTTTGTGTAACGTTGTGAGAATTCAACAACAAAGGATTTCTAATCATTACATTATATAGGTCCTCGGACAAAGGAAACGCTGTTTGTTTTGTCAGCCCTAACCAGCAACCGACTGTCACTATCGACAAGAAGGGAATTAAGTTGTCGAAATAATAGCAAAGTACTTGGTCACAGATGTAGGGTCTGGATCAGTTTCAGATGTTAGACAAAAGTTCCACAGTTCTTTCGATCCATGTGCGACATGTATGTGAAAGAGACGATTTGTTTCTAAAATATCAGTTTAAAGTGCGCTCCGGGCGCGGGTCGCATATTTCCCGCATATTATAGATGGCCGGAGTTCTGACGTTAATCGACGACAGACCGATATGAAAAAAGTCGATAAAACGTCAGAATAATTCGGACTAGGTGCAGGATGAGCCCTGAACCAAAACATTGATGTTACCGAACAACACTAAAAGAGAACAAAAAATACCAACACAGACACAGAACTACAACATATGTTCAAGCCACGGCAGGAAACTTCAGCAGAGAAGAAAGGGAACAAACCGAAACAGACGTACTTTTTTCTATCTCATTTTCTATCTCATCTTTACAGAATCATTGTGGATTGTGGACCAGCAAATCCATTTTAACAGACGTTATCAATATCCTCAACTAAACAACAGAAACTTACAGCTATGAGTATGAAGATAGCATCATGGAGGCAGACTACACCATCAAAGAGCACACAAGCAATATGTTCACATTTAGCAGCAACACTTCAACCGTTCAACAACTATTGATGGATGAAAATATCCTTTGCTGACCTTCACGAATTGATGATGCATCATGACAACCTACAGAAACAACACCATTAACAAAACGTGATTCTTTATCGTGTATGACGAGTCAGGCATCAAATATCTTTGGCACCAACAAAACAATCGTAGTAAAATCGCTCATTAAAACAATATCAATCGTGTTCAATTCAAAATGACGCATCCGTTTTTTAAACATATCGGGGTACACAACGCGTGTGGTTTCATTCAAGTGACTACAAATCCATTCACACCATTATCTTCATGCAATATATCCAAAAGTTAAATACATTGACCCTTGATCATTATAACTCTTCATTTCGTCATTTGCATAGTCTAAATGGCCAATTTATATGTCTTTTGGATAACTGGGAAATTGGGTAGCGATATGTAATCGGATAAAACACCCATTGTCTAAGGACTGAACTGTCTCATTACGTAGAGATGAATGTGCTGTTAGCATTGCCAACACAAGCATTGCCTTTGGATTGACCCATATTTCTGATTTGTATGACAATATAAATAAACGTTATTTTATGGCTATTCATCAGATGATACTAGTGCAACACTGGCATCTAATCAGGGAATGAATGTTGAATAAATTAAGGTGAAGGTATTTCGATATAAAAGAGAAATAACAATTGTTTGGTGTTTATTGATGATATTTTTGGCGTCGTTAGTGGGTGTTTTTAAATGCATACGAATATTTATATAACTGATAGGGTATATGTACGGATTAACAAATATGATGCGATGATACATCATTATGCAGCTATTCGTTCCAGTTTAAAGTCTATCAAACAAAACCTAGTAACAGATGGTGATCTCAGTTTCTTCCATAATAAAATAACTTAAATGACCTTAGCTGGCAATAAAACGTTACTTAAATTAACACCAATCCATACTAAACGGTTTACACTTGTTAAAGTTATAAAAGTTCTAGATAGTAAAACGTTCATTGGTAATTAATATTTCTATATTTGGCTCTAATTCTTAATCAACTCCTCTCACACATTAACATCTTTTTCTTGTGAAATAAAAAGAATAAAATATGATTAGACCGGCCCAGATTATTCATATATTTGCTTGGATCCTACTTACGTTATCTAAACGTCTTGAAAGAGTCTTGCGTTATCAGTGCAATTCTTTCTCTATATAATTGTATACCCATTTCTAGCAGTTTTTAGTACTGACTGGATTGTCAGGCTCTTTTGCCGTGACTCCTAGAGGACTGGCGTCAGGCCTTGGAGAACAAAAACTATGTTCGAACTTTCCAGGTACATACATACATCAGGCATCGCCATAACAACGTACTTGTCTGCGCATGCTTAACATTATGTAAAATCTCGAATTATTTACGGCACGTAAGACAATTAACAAAAATCCTTTTTATTATATATCTTTCACATTTTCACTTCCTGGGTGTGGTATTAACGGAAAGTTAATATTTTTTGCTATTTTAGAAAAATAAGAAATACCAGATTAATCTTGTTGATAAAAACAAGAGCGAAAGCAATAAAGAGACATTTTCCAACAGATTTGTCAAGATCTTCGGCATGATATCTGCTGCATAAACAGAGGGTATTTAATGAATATCAATTACTTAAAACGGGATAATATGAATTATCTAAATAAAAATTGCATTATCAAATCATAAATTGCAGAAGACAAAAAGACATAAAGGATCAACAATAATGTTATGATATAATCTAAAAAAAATTATTAGCACCGTTTTCAATTCGTCAGATAAAAATAACGATGTACAACTCGGTTTTGAACACCCTAGATAAAACCAAGGCATCCAGCATTGATCTAAATTAAGGCAACAACTCTCCTGCCGAACTGCTCCTATTAGTAAACTTTATAACTGGATAAAAGGCATCACCAAGAAATAAATAATTTGGTCATTTTTTATCAATTATCGTTAAGTTTTTTGTCTCGTAGATCATACTATTCTTATACACAATGTGACGTCACTAAACATGGCCTTTGCAAGTATAGAGGGGTTTAGATAGTATTTAGAGAATCTCACTGAAAAGTTTTATTTAGCATCATCGAGTATCGAGTTTTATTTAGCATCATCGAGTATCCGCTATGCAAAAACACCAAAGTGGTAAACAAGGGGAAGTAGCTCCCACATCACTAACGTCACCAGTGACCAAGCTGGAAGAATTAATGTCACCTAAATAGCAGTGACTCGATGAATCTTGCAAATGTATTTATAGAATCGACCCGGAATTCACGTAAGATCTTTTCTGGACCTATATGCTTTATCATAAATTATATAAATCGACTTTCATTATATGTTGAACATTGTGAATTTTACTTAAATGAAGATGATACCTTTATGCATGTTCGAGGATTACATACTTTCAGGTAAAACACTTTAAAAATGTGTACGGAACAAACAAAAACAGATCAAACATACAAAAAGCTAATGTTTAGCTCATTGGTAGACAAGGAAAACTAGCTGAGCAAAGCACACTACATGTTTTTGTGGATGATACCTACAATTGTATGCTTATCTTCCTGTTTTTCAAAACCTTTTGAGTGTATCGTTTTGGAACACCCCTACATATCGGGGATCGAAAAAGAATGCACCTATTGTAATACATAGCGTGTATCGTAAGAGGCGATTAATGTGGGAACTCCCTGCATAATTAGGGATGGACACAAAAGTGACCAGAATAAATCTGCTGCACCCATTGCAATATTTTTGATCTTTATATTTCTCACTACTTTCAATGACCCTTTCTTTTCTAGCGCCTTTTTCATCACTTTTCACTTAGAAGTTGAACGATCTCTCAGGTGAGGAAGGCATGGGGTTTTGCTCCTGGCCGGGACATATCAAAGTCCTTAAAATGGTAGAAGTTATTCCCTGCTTAACGTTCAGCATCTAGTGTGATGGTAACAACTGGTTCACTCGTTGTCATTGTGATGTGACCGGGCGGAATTCTTTTAATGCTACACTGGGGGCCTTCGGCATGGTATTACAGTGAGATAGCACTATAAAGTTGGCATCAGATCTGCGCTATAATACACCAAATGTACCTGATTCTAGTACCCATATCCCGTTTCATGATGTACTGATGGTCTTCACGATACAATACGCAACACAGCACAATGCATTCGATACGATATAAGTATCTTTAGTTTAACAATACATGTGTTTGGAATTTTATAAAGATGTCATAGCTTTACGATGTAAATAGTAAATATTGTTCAAATATATCTTTGTTCAAGCTGTTGTACGTATTTTATATCACTGCAGAGTGAATAAAATCGTTTCTAGCATATCTTAAAATAATGAGTGAGGAATTTATTTAAGAATTGATTGATACTATATCTGTAAGTGTGTCCTTTTGCAGACAAACAAAAGAGTTTGCTAAGATACGCAAGAAAGACTCACAAAGCTGAACGATTCGATAAATTGTTTCAGTCTACCCTGTACCAAGTAATTATAAATTCCACGATACAGTACTCCTCACAGCACAATGGCTATGGTACGATAGAATCTTGATACAAATATCGGCTTTAAAAAATGTTCTTCATAATGACTATATGGAGGATTCTGTAAAGTTTAGTTACAGCTTTAATAAGTAAATACTGTAAGTTTTAGAACGTTTTGTGTATTACTGCACAAAGGATACAATCTTCATTGAAAAATGAAAGAAAGTAAGTTAGCTTGAGTGGAATAAAAATAGAAATTGGTAGATGATAAGATATAAGTCAGTCCTGCGAGTATACCACGACACAGTCCAACAAAATAATTTGATCCAATCATAATAGAAAGCGCGAGGAAATTATGATAGATAAACACCAACACAACGGAAATATACCATTTATCACTAGCTCTCAGGGTGGCGTAGGCGGCGGGCGTTTAATTAACAGCAATATAAAAATATGACAAACATACAGATTGAACAAGATGGACATTCATTGTATAGTCGTTAGATCGTATGCAATCATAAACAAAAGTATATCACATGACTATAAATAACATGATTACGTACCCTCTGAAACTCTTACGTGAAACAAAGTTCCTCATCAAAGAGATCACTCCGCTCGCTCAGAAAAACAATAAAGATAATCCCCGCGTCTGGTGGCGGGTACATGGTACGGGGTACGGGGTACGGGGTTCAGGGTACGGGGTACGGGGTTCAGGGGTACAGGGTACGGGGTTCAGGGTACGGGGTACGGGGTTCAGGGGTACAGGGTACGGGGTTCAGGGTACGGGGTACGGGGTACAGGGTACTAGAATCAGGAACATAAACACGAACATACCTTGCCTCCAGCACATATACACCACACACGCAAGCATACACAACACGTCCTTAAATGACCTTAGTTGTTGTCAGGACGTTTAACACGGACAATCTAAGCTGGCACTTTGTTATCTATAATATAATGGCTTAGCTGCCAACCGTTGTCACATTAATTAGAAACACACTCACCTTTCACTCAGTTTTTTTCTGGGTATTCCAGTTTTCTCAAACGTTACGACATTCTCGATCTTCCTAACAGTGCAACACGAATTATTGATCTACGTTTATTAAACATTTTTTTCATGCTAATTGTAAAATTAATAAAGTTTGTTTTCTTATTGTTCTTCTGTCAAATCACACAAATATTGGCGCCTGCATTATCGTTATACCACATATTACCAGTACCAGTAGTGCGCATGGGCACACAAATACCACACCAGCGCTATTTTCATACGCACGCGCAAACATGGCTGTAGACAAAACTGGAAGATCAAATCCATGCTTACTCTCCAGAGTACCTGCAACGTAGCTCCAAGAGCCAATAGGAGCCAGATTAAGACTTCCGTTATCCGACAACAGTACTTCCGGAAAGATATATGGAACCGAGAAATTACCTTCAAACTTTAGATAGGTCAGGTTAGTGTTTGACTCCATTGTCACTTCACCACAGCTCGAGTAGTTACTTGTTTTACACTTGAGAATGGCACACACTTCTATTGAATACTTCCCTTCGTATGTATGGAGACCCCTAAAGGCCCCTAAAACGATGACGTCATCAGACATGGTTGACAGAGAGTAGTTGACCTTACAGCAGAGGTCGTTGTGGCAAACGCCCACCACCCCTGACTGACCGAGTAAAGGAACGAAGTTAAAGGGATCGTGGAACACACTGGCCGTGAACGCTGGACTGGGGAATTCCACGTCAAATGTTACGTTGGAGTATGTTATGGTCGGTTTAAGGACTGTTTTTAGGTCGGAGACCAATAGCTTTCCGGCATTAGATGCACCACTGTAATAAAACTTTGAAGCGCCATCTGGTGTGTAAATTCCGCTTCCATGGAAATTGTAAGACGGGAAATTAATATTGGCTGCAAGGAAGTTGATGCCAAGTCCTGCCGCAAAAGCAGAATGAAACTGTATTGACGAAAGCAAAGGGAGAGCGTCCATCCAGGCAGTTGGAAATATCACATTACCGACCCCGTAACGTTCTATGGCCGCCATTGCTGGATCATAAAACATAATGTCGAAACAAGTGAAAACTGCAAACGTTCCGAACGGTGTATCAAAAATAGCTGGCGTTTTATTGACAGGAAAACTGAACTGTGATTCGTAAAATAAATTAACTTTGTGATACTTAGTAACTAGTTGTCCTTTTGGGTCGTATACAACGTCGGTGTTAAACTGATAATGACCGTATTTCGGACATCGGGGGTCAGCATCTCTGTCGCATGGTTGTTTATCGCCTATGTTAGCGACGAGATATATCGAGTTGTTCTTGGCGAGACAGCTCAGAAAATGCTGGACCTCTGTATTTGGAAAGCGAAATGGTTCAGCGCATGCGTCCCATGTGACCTCTTGAGGTTCTGGTATGTACTCCATATAGGATGCTATACCGTCCCAAGAATATCCCATACCGTAAACGCCATCCTCTGGAAACACAATGATGTCCGCGCCCTAGAATGAAAACATAAAAATCATACATTTAATAAATTATTATCTTTAGGTTGTTTGCAGAATAGAGTAACCATTTTTTCTGTACTTGTATTATCAGAATATCGTTAGTAATCGCAAATCTCGACTAATTCCGTCATTAGGTCGACGGAATTTGTCGAGATGTTGCGATTACTTTATTCATTACTCTATCTCTTTCGGTCCAGTAGGAAATTCGCTAATCAGGCAGTTTAATCTCCGTGTGCCCATGGGGATGGATCAAACATCGAAAATTCGGCCACTGGACACACACTGTACACGTCACTGTACGTATATATCGTGTTTTAAACTATATAGCTGGTAAATTAATCTAATATAACCATGGGTATTTAAATTTTCGTTCATAAGAAATCGTATACCTTTCATTAATAAAGTACTAAGGTTGGCAAAAATTTGATTTTTTTTCGAGAAAAATATCAATGCGTTTCTGCTTTGGTTGTGGAAGTTAAAGGCCATTGAATACACATATAATAATTCTTCATTCATGATTTGTTTAAACATATTTTATTGCCAAAAAATGCAAGAGGATTGGGCACAAGTTACATGAACATTATTAACGCCCTTTCCTTATAAGATAAATAATTGTATATACACATCATAAGATGGATTTCATAGTTTAAATTAAATCACTACATTTATCTATTATTNTGCCCAGTTATGAATTTTTTCAAGATCTCGGTTAGTAGTAGTTTCTAGTTCAATTGCGGAAGGAGAAGAGACGGATAGGGAAGTATCATCAGCAAAAAGACGGGAAGGGCTGACAAGGTTATCAGTTATATCGTTGATATACAAGAGAAAAAGAAGCGGACCTAAGACAGAGCCCTGGGGTACACCAGCATTAGTTGTTTTAGTATGAGAAGTAACATTGTGGATGAAGACTTGTTGATGGCGATTCTGTACATAATCGGATAGCCAGTCTAAAAGATTTCCATTTATTCCATAGCTTTTTAATTTGTGTACAAGACCTGCATGCCAAACCCGATCAAAAGCTTTGGAAATGTCGCAAAAAACAAGACAGGTATGATGACGGTTTTCTAGATTTATGCATACATTATGATAAATTTCAATTAGTTGATGTACTGTTGAGTGACCTGGCTGAAATCCAGATTGGTATTTATATAACAATGAATTTTCTAATAAATAATTATGCAGAAATTTTGTAATAACTTTTTCAAAAACTTTCCCTACAGTGCTTAATAAAGCTATTGGTCTATAATTACTGGGGCATTGTTTATCGCCTTTCTTAAAAATGGGCATGACTAAAGCTTTTTTCCAGGAATTGGGATAAATTCCTTGATCAAGAGACTTTCTGAATATAAGAAATAGCGGAAATGAAACATAAAGAGCTGTGTTTTTAAGCATTTGGTGACTAATTTTATCATATCCAACAGCTTTACCTAATTTAAGAGACTTAAGGATGTCAACAATATCAGCTTGTGTAAAAAATATATTATCTATGCGACTTTGGGTTCTCATATCAACTTGTGGTAAAGGTACACCTGAGTCGTCTATAGTAGAGATAGACACAAAATAGTCATTTAAAATATTAGCTTTTCGTTCATCATCTACTGCAGTAGAATTAGTAATAGGGTCTTTTAGAGGAGGTATAATGTAAGATACATCTGCACTTTTAGTTAATCTCCGAACCAGTTTCCAAAAATTCTTTTGATTAGTTTTTGCATAGTTATCTAAAAGTCCATTAATATCAGCATAAAAAAGTTCTCTTGTTCTACGTTTGAGATTGTTGACATGATTTCTATGTTTTTTAAATTTAGCTAAATTCTCTATAGAAAAAACTCTTTTTAATTTTTTATGCAATCTATTTCTAATTCTAATTTCACGACGTAGTTCAGTAGTAAACCACGGTTTATCATTTGGTCTAACAGTAATAACCTTAGTTGGAATACAAAGATGAGCATATTCCAAATACTTATCTGTAAAAATCGAACACATATCGTCGCATGTGTAAGCATTTCTAAATACGTATTGCCAATCGGTGTTTTGTAACAGGTTATTAAATTTAGGATAGTCAGCATTTTTATAACACCAAATCATGCGTTTAAATTTGTTAGTAAGAAAAATGTTTAGTTTAATTTCAACGAGAGTAGCGTCATGGTCCGAAATGTCCCTGTCAATTTCAATAACATCGGAAAAACCAACAACGCATGTATCGCTCACGAGCACGGGGTCAAGGAGCGAAGCACGTGTTTGGCCTACCCGAGTTGGTTGGTTTATTACATTAGAAAACAGATACGTGCGGATAATGTCGTTCAGTTTATGACGAGTCTCAACCAGTAGGTCAACGTTTATGTCACCAACTATAATGACATGTGGGTTTTCATCAAGTGCATTTTCAATGGAGTTTTCAAATTGTTCCCAAAATGGATTTACACAGTCATTTGGTCTATATACTGTACATAGAAGATACGAGGAGTTATTAAAAATAATTTCGACCCAGATGGCCTCACCTGATGGAAATTCTAAATCCAAACGCCGCTGGGCAGAAATTAAAGGCGAAATATAAACAACGACACCCCCACCCTGTGAGTATTCACGGTCTTTCCGGAAAGGATTATTATTAAAACCTGGAAGTGCTATTTCTTCGTCAGATATACTGTTGTCTAAGTGGGATTCCGTGATACATACTACGTGAAATTCGTCTGCAATATTTTCAAGGTGAGTTAGCTTATTTCGTAAACTACGTATATTTAAATGGAAAATTGTTAATTCATCGGAAGATACATCAGGCCCAGGGTTTTCATGTATGTCCATGCAAATCAATAATAAAAGATGGAGGATAAGGATGAAATTAGTGTTACTGAAATAGCTATGTATAACATAAAAGAGAATACTGTATTGTGTGGTCTTAAATGTAAGAAGAAGGATTTCAAATAGATTTATAAATTCATCAAATACGAAATTTAAATTAATTTTAAATATTGAAGATGAGCTCGAGTGGTTACAGTGTGTACGCATGTAGAAATTGCCGACCGCCACCCTGTGTGCTACTATATCGTTACCCATTATCAAGAACGGTCATGGTTGGGTGGCTATCGGCAAAGAACATACGCACGTGCGTATACACCTGTCCAACAGTACAAACGGGCTCGAGGTGAAGGTCACACAGAAGTAAACAAGAGGGAAGTGGGAAGAGAAGGGGGAATAGTAAACAGGAAAGGTAAATAAAAGAAATCATAGGTGGAGAACCGAAGGATGTTTCTGCTGCTATAAAGAAGAGTAAGAGTTAAAATGATTGTTAGATAGATAGACCGACAGATTATGATTATTTTGTATATAATGACAATGTATAGAAAAATGGGAAAACTATTTACATTTTCAGCATGGTATAACTATATGAATAGCATAGTCATTAATTATATACAAGTCAGCTTGGGACAAACAGATTATACAAATGTGTACAATTGGTACACAAACAACACAGGGTAGGGTACTATAGGTAGACACTTTAAATAGCTTATATTGACAAGGTAGACATAATCAGACTACGTAGGGTTACACATAGACCATATCATAGGTAAAACGAAAGAAGGCATGGGTAATCACGAAGGCATATTTTGGGGAGACACGTGAATCATACGGATATCAATCAAGACAGACTACCTGTTTTAGTGATAACAGTGAAAACAATATAGTTGTCTTCTGTGATATCAACCATCATAGGATACTTGATTTGAGATATCAATCATCACAGGATATCTGTAATTGTGGTTCTTGTCAATCAACACATGATAATTATTTGAAGATTCAAAACAGCACATATTACTTTTTTGGATATCAAACAATAAATGATACTTATTTTGGATATCAAGCAATAAATAATACTTGTTTTGGATATCAAACAATGAATAATACTTGTTTTGGATATCAAACAATGAATAATACTTGTTTTGGATAGCAAACAATAGATAATACAATGAATATTACTTGTTTTGGATAGCAAACAATAAATGATACTTCATTTTTGGATATCAAACAATGAATAATATTTGCTTAGATATCAAACAATGAATAATACCTGTTTTAGATATCGAACAATGAGTAATACTTGTTTTGGATAGCAAACAATGAATAATACTTGTTTTGGATATCAAACAATGAGTAATACTTGTTTTGGATATCAAACAATAAATGATACTTGTTTGGTTATCAAGCAATAAATAATACTTGTTTTAGATATCGATCCAATAAATAATACTTATTTCAGAAATCAAAACAATAACTGGTACTTGTTTTGGGTATTAAACAATAAATTATATTACTTTTAGATATCAAACAATAAATTATATCAGTTTTAGATATCAACCAAACATACTATTAGTTCTGATATCAAACAAATGATCCTTGTTTTGATATATCCAATAATAAATTATATTCGTTTTTATTATCAAGCCAGAAATGATACTTATTTTGGGTATCAAACATTATATGATACTTATTTTGGTTATAAAACAATAAATGATCTTTGTTTTGGATATCAATCAATATATGAAACTTATGATACTTGCCTTATATATCAAACGAATGACACTTTTTTAAATTCTTTTTAAATATCAAACAATAAATAACATCATTCTGTATGCAATACAACCATATTGATGTCCAAATATAATGGCAAGTTACCATTTCGATACATGGATATGAATATCTCTTTAGGATTAACTATCTATATGAATCGTTATATATAAAAAGGATTCTGGATCATCACGTAAAGTGATAAAAGTACACACACCATGAACGTACGTGACATTTACAGTCAACAGTGAGGTTATTCGAGCGGAGAAAGTTGCAGAAGATATAGACAGTGCTGGTGAAGATGTTGCTGATGCTGGTTGCAGGACGCGATACACTAAATCAAAGTACTGAGAGTACTTCAATACTGATCATGCAGAGGAGTCATTGTGAAGAGTTGGAATGATGGAATGCAGATGGTGAATGTTTTTGAT